TCACGTTTTAAATCTTAATTGTTGAAAATATTATGTCCCCTTTCCCCCCCTTTGACCTCTTCTAGCCCACCTCCACCCTCCAACCCCCACCCCAGGCCTTCATTTCCTTGTTGTTTGCGTCCATGCGTTATGTGTATATGCATACAGGTTCTTTGGTTGATCTCTTCTTACCCACCCACTGTTGAGGGGATTACAAATGTCTCCCATTTCCCCCCAGTTCTTACCCCACCCCAGGCCTTCACCACACTATTATTGTCTGTGTCCGTGGATTATGTATACACGTATTAAGTTCTTTGGTTATTTTTTGCCCATCCTCCCCCCTTCCCTCTGAGATCCATCAGTCTATGCCATGCTTCCATGGGCCTAATTTGTTCATCCATTTATTTTGTTCATTAGATTTCACATATAAGTGAGATCATGTGATACTTGTCTTTCTCTGTCTGACTTATTTCACTTAGCATGATATTCTCTGGGTCCCTCCATGTTATCACAAAAGGTGAAAGATCTTTTTTTTTTTTTTTTTACAACTGCATAGTATTTCGTTGTGTAAATGTACCAGAGCTTTTTTTATCCACTCATCTACTGATGGGCACTTGGGTTGTTTCCAGAACTTAGTTACTGTAAATAGCATTGCTATGAATATAGAAATGCATATATACTTATTCTTAAATAACGCAAACACAGGAAAACAATCTTTTTGGATAATGATGAGACATGTCTTGCAATGGGTCTCAGTGCATGGAGAAATTTTTCATTGCCTAATAGCAGTATCTTGTGTTATCTATTTAGGTTTATTAATGAGCTTTTGAACGCATACAAATTATGTTGCAAGTCCACTGATTTACCACTATTGAAATTCTTTCACTCTTATCAGTTAATGAAAGGAAGAGAGATCTGCTTTGGTTGATGCCTGGAGCCTTGGCACCCGCCAGAGAGCCAGGAACATAGTAGTGGTATAAGTAGTATTTGTAAAATGTATGGCTAAGCTACTATCTTATCCTAATAAAAGGGTAGTAAGCAAATTGACCATCACTCCAACACAAGATGGCTGCCCCCACGTGATTCAAGATGACTGTCCCCATGTGGACACAATATTCCACCATAAGATGGTCTGCAGGAGAGGGCAGTTGTGGGCTATCAGGCCAGCAGGGGAGGGCAGTTAAGGGTGACCAGGTCAGCAGAGGAGAGCAGTTGGGGGAGACAAGGCCTGTAGGAGAGGGCAGTTGAGGGGAACCAGGCCTGCAGGGGAGGGCAGATGAAAGGGACCAGGCCTGCAGGGGAGGGCAGTTTGGGGTGACCAGGCTGGCAGGGAAGAGGCAGTTAGGGGCAATCGGGCCAGCAAGGTAACAGTTAGGCATCAATCAGGCTAGCAGGGGAGTGGTTAGGGGGTGATCAGGGTGGCAGGCAGAGTGGTTAAGGGCATTCAGGCAGGCAGAAGAGAGGTTGGGAGCCAGCAGTCCTGGATTATGAGAGAGATTTCTGGTGGGATAGGGCCTAAACCGGCAGTTGGACATCACTTGAGGGGTACCAGATTTGAGAGGGTGCAGGCTGGGCTGAAGGACACCACCCTCCCCCCATGCACGAATTTTGTGCACCGGGCCTCTAGTCTATAAGTTAGATAGTAAATAACTACAATTCTCAGTAACCATGCCCTCAAAATTTAATTGTGAAAAAATGTAACTATTTGTTAACGCACCCTATCTGAGAGCCCCCCATTTTAGATTATCGAATGCTCACCTTCTGAAATAAAGACAAAGACTGGATATCTTTATTCACCACTTTATTTAAACAGACATCACATAGTTACTGTTATGATACACTGATAATTCCACAAAATTATTGCCCCCCCCACACACACAAAAAAGCATTAGCTATAAAGCAACACCAGACAAATTCAAATTGAGAGACATTCCACAAAGCAACTGGTTTATACACTTCACTTCAAAATGTCAAGTTATCAAATACAAAGAAAGGCTGAGGAACTGCTCCACACTGATAGAAACTAAAGTCTTAACAGTGTGTGATGCTGGATCAAATCCTGGACCTACAGGAGATATTTTGGGACAATCTATAAAATCCGAATAAGTTATACGGAGTAGAGGGTTATAGCATCTCGATGTTGGTGATGTGATGGTGGTTATGTAGAAGAGTAATCTTAAGAATGTCCACCATGACAAGTACCATCAATATGTCCTGGCACTATGGCACATGAAGATTAGGATAATGGGCATCCTGGATATGATTCTCCGTTCGGTCACCTACAAGCAATATGTTGTGAAAGGACCTAGAACACAAAGCAATGTGTTGACACTGAACGTGAGAATTCATAAAGCACAGTGAAAAAGAATGCCCAGATAGGCAGTAAAGGGAATAAGAGTCAAAGACAGACGAAGCATAAAGCATTCAAGTATTAGATAAGAGCACTCAAAAAGGCAGATAGCTGGCTGGTCTTGGAATTGGGGAGCAATCAAAGGTAACAGGTATGAGAAGTATAAACAATAGCTGGCCTCCAGCCCAACAGCTTCTATCATATTTGTCATCATTCTGTTACCAGCTTTAGTAAAAACTAACTGTAAATACTATTCAGCAATAAAAAAGGAAATACTGATCCATGATACAACATGGAAAGCCCTCAAAAACACTATGGTAAATGAAAGAAGCCGGACACAAAAAGACTACATATTGCATGGGGCCACTGAAGGAAACTGTAAAGGCAGAAGGTAACTGGTGGCCTGGGAGTAGGGATGGAGATGGCAATGGAGATCAATTTTAATTTTAATTTGATTACAGTAATAACTCATTTGTAGTCCCAAAATTGAGGGTCTATGCCTCACTTTTCTCATTTGCTATTCGTGACAATTATAGTACATAACTCATCAGGGCTCTTAGAAGATCAAATGAGATCATTCAGGTTAAAAGCTTACAACAATGCTGGTACTTAGTAGGGCTCAATATGTACACACACACACACACGTCCAGCTTAAAAACTTAAGGAAAAATGCATGTAAAATATAGCATTCATGCAATAAATTATAAATATAGGAAAAAATAAATTCATACTTATTTAAAAATTCAGCAACAGCCCTGGCTGGGTGGCTCAGCTGGAGCATCGTCCTGTGGACCAAAAGGTTGCAGGTACGATCGCCAGTCAGGGCACATACCTAGGTTGCAGGTACAATCGCCAATCTGGGCAACTAACTGATCAACATTTTCCTCTCACATGGCTCTCTCTCTCTCTCTCTCTCTCTCTCTCTCTCTCTCTCTCTCTCCTCTCTCTCTATCTCTCTCTCTCTATCTCTATCTCCTCTCTCTCTATCTCTCTCTCTCTATCTCTCTTTCTCTCAGATCTCTCTCTCTCTCTGTCTCTCTCTTTCTCTCCCTCCCTCTCCTTTCCTCTCTCCCCCCACTTCTCTCTCTAAAAATATATCCTCAGGTGAGGATTAAAAAATGATTCAGCAACAAACTATACTTCAACCTAGACCTATCCCTTAATCAAAGTAAATAGTTCAAAATACATTGGGAGAACTTTTAAAATATATTCATAAATGATAAGAACAAAGGAAACATACTAAACGTATTATTTCCTTAAGAGTATAAGGAAATGTTGAGATTCTTCCTCAGTCTCACATCTTTGAAAGTTGACATTTTGATGTGTCATTCTCTAATTACATGATTTTTCAATATTTCCATGTGTTTTCTATACATTAAAGTCCTTTCTAGAGACTGGACTTTCATTTTATATTTTTTACTTTAGCAATTTCTTTAATTATAGAGCAGGCTGTTGTTCATCTATAATACAATCTTGGACCAAAAAAACCCACCAAAAACAAAAACGAACAGAAGTCACTACTACTGAGGCCAAAGGCACCTACCTCATTGACATACATACACTCTTCCATGTTTTCTTGTCCTTTGTAACATAGTCTATGGTGTCGGAGGAATCAAAATTCTCTTCCTGGCAGGTGTCAAATAATGATAGAGATTCTGCCTCCAGAACTCAGTCCTGTTCATTGACTCTCTAAACACAAGTACACCAAGTGAAAGGTTGCTAACCCACCACTCCAGCAGACAAATAAATACTTGCTTAATTGTAATCTTTTGAAGTAACTACTCTGTTGAACATAACCTGTATATCTTTGGTTAAACAATATTGTCTCACCAACATCAACATTTACATTCTCTTGTTATCTCTAAGACCATTTATAAAACGAACTTCTGTTTTCGTTATTCTCTAATTCCTTAGGTATTCCCAGAAAAACCTCCTAGCATGAGAAAGTACTGACAACTTTCCATATCCAATAGATTTTTATCTTGATAACATCGAAAGCAAATTCACTCTTTAAATTGCATTATAAAAAATACATTTAGTCTTCACATTACTTTCACATGGAAATATATACTTGCTTGCATATTTAAATATAAGCTTTCTTTACCAAAAGTGTCACTCAAAGCCCTACTTACACAAATAATTTAAATGCACAAAAGCCAACACACTTTACACAATATTGCCCACATACTATTTAACTTGGGACATTTATAATAAGAATCTATGCAAGATACTGAACAAGTACAAGATTAATAAAATATTCATTGCGGCGGTACTTCAATTTTCACTATTAAAAGAACTTAATGCACTCTTGAATACACAAAAAACATCAACTGTTTTATCTGCAAATTAAGCCAAAATATATTTTGACAAAGGGGCACATCTTGTAACCTACCAAATTCTGAAAGTAACTCATTTCTAATTTAACTGAAATTATAATTTTTACAACTTCCTGCTTTCAAGCTTGCCTAAAATAATAATGATTACAGCCCTAACCGGTTTGGCTCAGTGGATAGAGCGTTGGCCTGTGGACCCAGGGGTCCCAGGTTTGATTCCGGGCAAGGGCATGTACCTTGGCTGCAGGCACATCCCCAGTAGGGAGTGTGCAAGAGGCAGCAGATTAAAGTTTCTCTCTCCTCGATGTTTCTAGCTCTTCCTCTCTGTAAAAAAATCAAAAAAATATATTTAAAAAAATAATGATTACAGGAACTTAGGTAAATAGTTCCAAAATGTTTTAAAATACATCAGGACTGTATACTTTAACTTTTAGTAATATAATTTTTTAAATATAAATCTTTTTCCTCAAAAAAAAGGGGGGGGGGACTTAGAAGAGTTTCTAACATGGGAAAGCTAGTAAATTTTTATGTTTGATCATTTGAATGATAAGAATTGTCTTCTTTGCATGATGTAATCACAATAGATATGATACATCATAATTACACAGTGCTTTATTTCCATCATCTGTAGCTTTTAAATTTACACTAAAAGTATGCAGAATGCCTACTGATAGTACTTAGGGGGATTATATGTCTACTTCATAGGAAAAAAGATCCAATCCCCACAATATTTTCATATATTAGCTACTTGTACTTCCTAATCAGTAGGACAGTATTCTTCCTAAATTAAAATTGGAAAATTATTTTAAACCAGTGATCCACAGTGATATTTTAAGAAAGGAAATTAAAATATTTTATATGAGGCAAAGTTAAAGTTGCTTTACAACTAAAAATAAACATTTATCCACTTTTTCAACATAATTACTGGTTTAAATTTAATGTAAATAAATTCAGAAGTAAAGAAATTAACACCATCATAGCATACGCACAGGTTAAATAATGGCCCCTGAAATAAACTACACTTAGAAATCAACTGTTACAACACTATATTTCATTAATTCTAAGATAACAACACATTTTTATTTCTGAAATCATGGTACACTGATATAGTTTCAATGAAATATGGTTTATACAATATTTTTTAAATTCATGTTTTCCTTTAACATTAACAATAAATAGTCCATAATCCTTGGCTTAAGGATAAATGAACCAATCTGAACTACCTCAACCAATGTCCTTGAATAAAGGATCTAAACACATTCTGAGTATCTCAGACTGAAAATCTGCTTGTATTAACATCTTCTATTTGATCATTAAAATAGTTAGCAAGTTGTCCTGCCGGTGTGGCCCAGTGTTTGAGCGTCGACCCATGAACCAGATAGATGGTCACGGTTCGATTCCCGGTCAGGACACATGCCCGAGTTTCGGGCTCAAAACCCAATAGGGTACGTTCAGGAGGCAACAGACTGATAATTCTCTCTCATCACTGATTTTCCTATCTCTATCTCACTCCCTTCTTCTCTCTGAAATCAATAAAACTTTTTTTTTAATAAAGTAGTTAGCAAGTTCAAGGAAAGCCAACCTAATGTTCAAATACCTAATTTCTCACTTGCAAAACAAGCCTCCACTGATTTGTCAATTTTATTAGTTCTTTTCAGGTATCAAGATTATAAGTACGTAATTGGCTCATGACAACAATCAATGGTCTGGTAATCAAATTACCGAACCAATAATTTCAGTTCAAGCTATTAAAAAGTAGTATGGTAGTGTCTAAAATATTTTCAAGAGATACGGCCATAGATAACCACCAACCCTTCAGGTGCAAGGGAATAAAGGTGATAGAAAAGTATACTCACATTGGCAAGATTGTTTTCCCCTTAAGATACAGTAATGCTAAAGGAAAACGGAGACTGTTTATTACAGAGATTGTGTATGTGCATGTGTCCAGATGTAGAGAGTTAGAGATTTGTAGATCCAGTTTAAATAAAGCAGAGAGAGTTTGTGCTGTGTGTATAAAATTACCAGGCAGTTTTTAAAATCTGTATTAAGGGGTTGTGGAATCTCACTATCTGGAATGCTTTTGAAAGAAAGGTTAAGTCATATCTTGTTTGTGATTAAGTCAACCTCACTCGAAAGTTGAGGTAATTACAGTTTCTTAATTGTCCAGTTAGAATACAATGTTGATAGTGCCGTTCTGAGACACACCGAATATAAGTAGATATTCATTGTTCTGATATTTGAAAAGTAAATAAGATAGCGTTAAATGTTTGCCATATTAAGTCTTATAATATTATAACCTTCTGACATGAGATACAGTCAGGAAAAAAAAATAAATAAGAGGGACTTGAGTTGGGGGAGAAAATTATATATTCTGTGCTAAATTATGTGACATAAATTAAGATGAAGTTCTTCTATGGCAAGTGGATAAAGGGTCTTTTGAATCTTTTTTTTAATAAAGGACCTTAAACACTAATTTTAAAATAATATAGAAGTTCTGATGAATGCTGTCTATAGCAAAGTAGTTGAAGGTTAATTTTTTTTTGTCATAGTTGGGAGAGCTATGTTCTCTAATTGTCAAATATATTTCAACTGAAGCTCTGAATCTCAACTGGCTTCAGCACAAACACTTGCGGCCTGCCTTACTGAGCAACAGCTTGTGTAGAAGGCGAGTCATCCTTCTGTCAGAATATGGCACCTGAGAATATAAACTTCTCAGCTCATATATTCTGACAGGTTTGGGTCGCCTTTTTTGCTTTCTTCTGGGGCGTTTTTTGTTACCATTCTTCTTCGTTTCTTCAGTGCTGGGAGAATCCTGCACGGGTTGCTGGGGAGAAGAGCTGCTGACAGCACCAAGCTGCTCTTCGGCATCAGCTGATGGAACTGAGTCTGAAACCTTCTTGGCTGGTCTCTTCGCCTTCTTGACTCTTCTGACAACAGATTTGATCTTCTTAAGATGCATCCCAATAAAAGCCCTTCTGGACTGGTGTTTGTGCCGCAAAAAATCAGAGACTTCTGAAATGTACTTCTTAACTATGTCATTTAGTGTGGAAGGAATCCAAGCTGACTGCTTTTCTGATGTGATTCCAGTTATTTCCTGAAGAATAACTTGTTTGTCCACCTTTTTTAGTAAGTCTGGCTTATTAGTAGTTGTCGCCTTCCTTCTCTGAACCTTCTTTTTATTTTTTGAGTACTTCTTTCTCGCTGATTTTCGTGGGGTTTTGGCAGCATCACCGTTTAAGAGAGTTAACAGGAAATTCTTCTCTTTCAGAAATTCACCAGAGTTCAAGATCTCCGATTTTGCCAGAAGTACTGAAGACCCATTGTCCCCCTGGTCGGATGTTAATTCGTGTCTTACTGACACTGTAATGAAAGGTGATGCAGGAGAACTTTGTACATGAGCATCGTCCTCTCCTGCACTGGAGATCAGGTCGCTGAACTGAATTTGAATCCAGTCATCATTCTTGTCAGGTCCTGGTATTTTTGTGTTCAGAGGAGGATCAATTACAGTTTGTTTATCCAGTGGATCATAAGAACCAAGTTTGTATTTGTACTGGATTTTAATGTCCTGCTTGTTTTTATCATTTGGCTGGCTAATTTCAGAGACGTTCAAGGATTCCCCTTCATTCAGCTTAAGATTTGAAGAACCATGGAGTAAGGCATTGGGGTTCAAAGGCTTCAAAATGTTAGCATATGATTCAAGAAATTCAAGTCTTCCGATTCGGATTTTCTTTTTTGGTCTCCTGTTGTTGTTTACAGGTAAGCGTTTCAGGGATGGCGAGTATGTCTCATGTTCACTTACTGTTTTGGTCACTACGTAACTCATGACACTGGTTTGACCTTCACTGCTGACTTTCACGGTCTGGTATCTTGAGGTCACTCGCCAGGTTTGTTCATAAGACATCTTTCCTATAGGGTCATCTAAGGCCCCTGAAAAGTCATCAACATTATAATCACACTCTAACAGAATTTCAATGAATGCAGTGTCATTTAGGTCCGATGAGACAAAATTCCGTTCTCCATTGGAATATGTTGTTCTCACATTCAGGGTCTCAGAGTCATCATCAAAGTAACAGTGGAAGCGGCCTTCCTTAAATTCCCTCACAAGAGTGTTAACTTTTACGTCATCTTTTATCATTATTTGAGACCATGTTTTCCCTATAAATGAAGGAGGGACATGAGGCAAGGCTTCAAGAACTGGTTCATCAGACCTATCTTCCAAAACCAACTTTGCCTTTTTTGATCTCCTTCCAGAACCACCCCTAGAACCAGAGCTTGAAGGGGAATTACGCTTCATTTCTTTCAGGCTGAAAGACATCTTCTTCACACCTTTTTGAGTCCGGTCATGGTCAGACTGAGAAGAAGGATCACCTTGAAGGCTCACCCCAGAAACACATTCAGATTTAGAGTTCTTATTTTTTTGATCTGTACGTTTTAACTTTAACTTCAACTTCAAAGTGTTTTCTCCATTAGCCATTTCAATCTCTGCTGTCTCAGGAGGGGTATTAGTATTCTTTGCAGAAGAACCGCGTCGACCGCGCCTACCTCGTGGGCCTTTCTGATTTTTCGGAGGGTTGTCTGCTTTGGCAGCTTTCTTCTGTTGACGAGTCTTTGGTGGAGAAGTCTCTTCCCGATTACATCTTCTTTTAGGACTAGTAGATTTACCTCTCTTGCCTCTTGGGGCACTTTTTCTTGCCCTTTTTTTACCAGGCCCTGGTGATTGGCGAGTCTTGGACTGGCGAGGGGCATCTTTTTGAACGTTTATTTCAGAACCATAAGGCTCACAGGGGGACTCTTCCAGAATAATATAGTCTTTCTTCTGGTTTACTACTTTGAAAGCCTTTCTGGATTGGTTTGACTCTGACGTTGGAGAGGATTCACAAGCATAGCTTAGATCTGGAACATAACAGTCACAGCATGCACCGTCTAGGTCAAAACTTTTTGCGTTTATACCGGCAATTCCTTCCACAGTTGCTTGAGATGAGTCAATCACTGGCTGACACGAGGCACTGGAATCAGCAATCACTTCACAGTCACTATCCCCGGACACCAGGTTCACTAGCAGCACCTTCGGAGGTTCTGCTTCTGCTTCTTTGTCTGACACCTGAAAATCATTAACTATTATTTGAATAGGGACATCAGAATCAGACATTGTTTCAGAATCACTGGTCTTTTCCTCCATGCCAAGATGCACGGTCTTCCGACGGGTCATTTGAGTTTGGTCAACTGATAACTGCAGAATACCAGAACCACAATTTATTCCAGAAACACTCGGTTCACAGTGCTGATTTTCTAAGTCATTATGGTCCCTTTCCAAATTTATTTCTTTGACAGCCACAGGACACTGACCAACCACTAATTGAACAGGAGCATCAGAATCACACCTGATTTGAAAACCATCTACTTTATAGTTATCTCCCAGGTAAATATGGCCTTCCTTCCAAAGGCTGACTTTACCAGCATTTTCGAGCTGGTCAGATGGAAGAGGATCGTCACAAGTAAAAGTTATTTCAGAATCACAAGGATCACTGCCCTTATATTCCAAATTAGCATGTTCCTCTTCCAAAATGTGTGGTTGCTCAACTGCTGGTTGAAGATGGACATTTGAAAGATAAATCATGGCAGAGTCCTTGGGTTCATAGCCCTTGTCATGCAGATAAACATGTCCCTCCCTCAGAAGATTTATGTCTGTAGTAGCCTCTTGAATTTCATTAGTCACAGAATGAACATGTTGATTAGAGTCAAAATTTATTTTAGGATCACTACGTTTGACCATCTTACCTTCCACGTCTACAGGTTTCTTCCAGCGGTTAATCTCCTTAATAATTTCCTCAGTTTGGCCAGCCACTGACTGAAAACGGACATTAGAGTCATACCTAATTGCAAAACCATCTGGTTTATAGGTTGTCTCTTCCACATCTTCATCCTTCCAAAGGCTTATTTCTTTGACGGTTTCTCTAACCTGCTCAGCCACTGACTGAAGAGGGTCATCAGAGTCAAAACTTATTTCAGAACCACAGGATTTATGCTGTTTCTCTTCTAGCTCAATGTGCCCCTTCTCCAAAGCAGTTATTTGAGATTGTTCAACTGCTAACCGAGCCAAGTACTCAGAATCCAAGCTCATGTCAGAACCACCATATTGGCTGGTATTATCGTCCATGTCTACATCACCTTCATTCTCAAGGTTTATTTGTTCAACAGCGGCTTCAGGTTGATCAGGCACAGATTGAGGAGAAACATCAGAATCCTGTATTAATTGAGTCTCATTAGGTTTATCGACTTTATTTTCTGGGTCAATAGCCTTTTGTTGCCACGGGTTTGTTTTTTGCATCACGTCCTGATATTGTGCAGTTAATGGCTGAAGAGGGTCATTAGACTCAAAATTTACTTTATGATAGCTAGATTCGCTGCTTGAGTTCTCTGGATCAGCGTGTTTCTTCTTTAAAAGGGTTAGCTGAGGTTTCTCAATGACTGATGGACGAGGGGGACCAATATCCAAATTTATATCAAAACCTCTAGATTTAGCACTTTCAACTTCTGGGTCAGCATGGTCCTCCCTCAGAACAGCAGGCTGAGGTTTTTCAGTCATCAAATGGGGAAGGACATTTATTTCAGAGCCAGTATAATTATCACTCTTGTTTTCTAAAACATATTTATCTTTCTGAACATTTCTTTCTTGAATAGCTATTTGAGGTTCAGTCACTGAATAATGAGGGACATCAGAATCGAATTTTTTTTTAGAACCGCTAAATTCAGCATGCTTTTTTTTTTGAAGCCGCATTTCTTTAAGAACTACGTCAGTTCTTTGAATAACTGACTGTTGGGGGATACTGAAATCCGATCTCGTTTCAGAAACACTTAATTCCTTTCCCTTATCTTTTAAGTTTTTTTGTTCTTCCTTCTGACGGTTTATTTCTGTCGCAGCTCTATCAGGATGATTGGTCACTGAATGAGAAGTAGAAGATTCCAAAGTGTTTTCAGGAACATCAGGTTCATTGCCTTTATTTTCTTCATTCTGGAGGTTGACTTCTTCGGTGGGATTTTCAGAATGTCCAATTGCTGAAGGAGTATTCAGACTTAATCCAGAAACACTAGGTTCAATGTGCATCGGTGGTTCTTCTTGAAGTTTTCGTCTTTTAATGAGAACTCCAAAAGAATTTGGCACTGAAAGAGGAGAGACATAAAAATCTGAACGTATTTGAGAACTACTGGGCTCATCATTCTTCCTTCGTAGGTGTGCACGGTCTTCTTTCTGAATTACTACTTTGTTAACACCTACGTCGGGTTGATGAGTCTCGGAAGGGAGAGGTATATTGGGATCAAAAGTCATTTCAGAACCACAAAATGAATTATTCTTGTTTTTTTTTGCAGCAGGTTCTTCCTCGGCTACTTGAGACTGGTCAGCTACTTGAGATTGGTCAAATCCTAAATAAAGAGGAATATCAGAAATAAAAGTTATTTCAGAGCTATTTGACCCACAGCTCTCATCTTCCATGTTACTGTCCTTTTTTTTTACCTCAGAATGCTCAGTAACTGACAGAAGAGGAGGATCAGAATCAAAGGTCAACTCAGAGCTGGAGCACCCGTAGTTCTTCACTTCCATGTCAACGCTTAACTCTTTCGTGTTTATGTCGCCCAGAGCTCCGGGAGGTTGTTCATTGGCTGGCTGTTGAAGAGAGGCATGAGGGTCCACCCTTGGTTCAGGAGCACTAGCGTCAGCACCCTGATTCTGTGGGTCAACAGCTGTGTCTTGAGGGTCTGCTTCTTGAACTGCTACTTGAGGCTGAGCAGCCACGAATTGGGCATCAGGGTGGATATTCATTTCAGGACGACGATAGTCAGAGTCCATATCCACAATGTCGTTGTTCTCTCTCGGAAGGTTTATTTCTTCAGCAGCGCTTGGAGGTTCATCAGTCACTGCCTCAAGAGAGGCGCCATAGTCAAGGTGTGCTTGAGCACCACTGGGTTGGTTGTCATCTTCCAGGCTGGCAGGGCTCTCCTTCAGGTTGCTTTCTTTGACAGCCAGTTGGGGATGAACAATTACTGACTGAAGAGAAGTATCACAGCCACTTTCAGAGCCACTCGACCCATAGTGCATGTCAACCAGGCCAGCGTAAACCTCCTCCTGAGGCTCTGGTTCAGCTGCAGCCACTGGGAGTTGCTCAGTCCCTGGCTCAAGTGGTAAGTCAGAACCGGCGCTTATTTCAGAGCTACCGGAGTCCATGGGCGCCTCCTGAGGAAGGCCTACTTCTTCTGCAGGCTGCTGTGCGTTGTCATCGGTTGGCTGAAGGGAGGCATCACCATCATAGTTCACCTCAGAATCACTAGAATCATAGCTTTCGTCAACCAGGCGGATGGGCACCGCCTTCGGAGCGCTCATGCCTCTCACAATGACTTGAATTCGGTTGGTAGCCAGCTGCTGCTGAGGGGCAGCGTGAGCAGAACTTACTTCAGAAACAGAAGGCTCGCTACTGGGAGGCTGCACAGCCTCACGTGCCCCCTCTGAAACGACTGTTTCTGTGGCAGTCACTTTCGGTTGGCCAGCCAGGGCGAGAAGAGAGGAACTGCGATCCACACTCACTTCGGGACCTCTTGGTTCAGGGGTCTTATCTTCGTGGGCAGTTGGCTCCTGGCAGCAAAGATCTTGGACAGCCACTGCAGGCTGGGCAAACACTGACTGAGAGCCCCATGCCAATGCCATGGAGGTGATCACCGAGTGTTTCTTTTTGAATGCTAGCTTGGGGGCTAGCTTGGGGGCCGGCTTGGGGGCTGGCTTCTTGAAGACCGAGTGCTTTTTCTCTTGGGCACGATCCATAATAGGAAGGAATTTGTCACGGCGCTTTGGGATGGCGCCTTCAATGAGTCCTCTTTTATAAATCTCATCATCTATATTCTGACTGGTCGAGGGGTTAACTGCTAGTGTGGTAACAGGCGCAACATTTGAGGAACCCTCAGGACCCACAGATGCATGAGACTGAACGCCAGCGGAGGAAGTTTCACCCCGAGATTCTACATCTTCCTGTGTAACCGGTTTATCTGGATTTATATCTACAGGTTTTCTGTTTGACTCGTTAGGTGTCGGATTGGACATTGAAGCGTAACTGGTTGAGGGCATAGGCTCGCTAGGGCCCTCGTCTTCCTGTACAAGGTCAACTACGTTTAGGGCACGTGTGTTAACCGAAACTGAACTGGCTGCCGCTGCCACCGCCAACCTAGCAGCACTAGTTATAACTGGTCGAGCATTAGCACTTTCGCGCAAAAGACTAGCAGGAGCAGCAGAAATCACTGAGGGACCTCCGGTATTTGTAGCTTGACCAACATCTACTGGACTAAATTCTCTCCGGCCACTCCTAACTTTATAAACAAATTTCAAGGGCTGCTGCTGGCCCCTCTCAAATTTCTGAATAACTGATGCCCGCATCGGAACGCCCTGTCTACCTTCCTGTGACCCACTAGGCCCAGGACGCGACCCTTCAGAAGGCTCAGGATTCTGGGTCACGGCTCCGGGAGCCTCGTCAGCCATTCCTTCAGACGCGGAATCATCCATGAGAATCACTTCAGCAGATGCTTCGTCTTCCCCAGCAGGGGCTGCGATATTTCCAGAAGGTCCGGGATTATTTTCATTTGGTCCTGATCTAAAAGGGAAGGGGGGCAACCATAAAAAAACAAATTTAATATCTGTTTTAAAAATGTTTCAATAAGGGCACAAGGTTATTTTCTTTTTATCCTGGGCCAGATTCTCCAAGGACAAAGAATGGAGCCCACCACACCAGGCTTTACAAGGCATTTCCGTAACGTAATCAGTGCAGCAGGAAGTCACCCCTGCCAACTGCAACATAATAAACACAAATGGCTCCTAAACACACGAAAAATGTAAAGGCAGACCTCGCTTTCCAGTTACCAGAGCAGCAAAGAGCATGAAGTTGAACGTGTTACCTAACCTTCATGCTTTTGCCCCCCTCTGCCCTCCCCTCCAAAAGAGGAAATAATGCTATTTCCCTCGTTAGATTGTTTTGAAAAGTAAACTAGTTGTTACATGTAAAGGGTATTTTTTTAAATTCTGGAAAGGAGTAATCACTCACAGGTATTAACTATTATTATTTTAACATACTGTTTGGGCAAAAGTGCAAAGTCAGGCACTTTAACACATTATTGGCAGGAATATAGATGAGTTTATATGAAGAAAATTTTGTAATGTGTATTAAAATTTTAAAATGCCAAGAAGAGTCTAAGGAGATATGACAAGTTAATGTAATCTGATTATCCTGGTGGGATCCTGAACAACAACAAAAAAGACATTAGGGAAACCTGAATAATCTGCAGAATTCAGTTAATGTATTACATTGGTTCATTAACTATAACAAATGTACCACACCAATGTAAGATGTTATTAATAGGGAAACTGAATAAGGTTGGTATATAAAAACTCTCTGCACTATCTTAATTTTTCTATAAGTCTAGAACTACCTAAAAATATAGGTTATTGAGAGTAATAAAAATGTTAAATATATTAACTCCTAAAAAAATTCCTTTATTACATATTTTTAAATTTGAGAGATGCCACAATTGCCTACGAGAATATGCATACAAGCATTGGCCACATGTATACTTTTTTAATGTCCTAGATATTCCTACTGTTTTTCTTGCCCATAAAAATATCACAATTAATATTAAGATAGTGTTTTGGTGGTGTAAAATAAAAATATTAACCCTGGCATCAAACATAGTATCATGATGAACCAAAAATTGCCATAGGTTTTCATACTTCTGAACTCTAATCAATAAAATTACAGTACAATAACCACTTTACCCTAGTTTTTAAGAACACTAGTGGAGTATCTCCATTTGTCTTAAACACTATCACAACATTCTCATTATAAAATTAATTTCGTGTTATTTGGCTAAGAAAGGAAGAAAAAGACAAGCAGAATCATAAAATCCAACAAGATGGCAAAATCACAAAAAGGTTAGGAATCATCATTTACATGCTTTGATTTCTGTCAACATTTGTGTGTGTATGTTTAAAGTTAATAACTAAATCACCATCTGTATTTATACTCATTTAAAACTAATTTTGCAACAAAAAAGCACTCCAAAATCTAATGACTAAATGTTAAAAATCAGTCTTTTCTATAACTCTTTTGCTTAAAAGCAAAAAAAAATTTAAACTATTTATAAATACAATAAAACATGTCAAAATCATTGAGATGTTAAAGTGGAAATTTCACACTTTAAACCTTCCATTAAAAAAAAAGAATTAGTAAACACAAATGAACTAAATGAATACCTAATTCAAGAAGATAGAAAAAATAACTAAATTCCTCCATCAAGAGAGTTGAAGAACTAAATTAAGGAAAAGAAAAACCAAAAAGGAAGAAAGGAAGGAACAAAGGAAGGAAGGGAGGGAGGAAGAGCTGATTTTTAAGAAGGCTAACTATCCAGGCAAGAAAGAAATTTTTTTAAGTATAACTTAGAAAAATATATAAAACATATATATTAAATATAATTAATAAATGTGGTGTTGGCATCTGATTAACAAACATGTGTATATGTATACTGGCATTCAAAATCAAATACAGGCTCCACTGCAGGTGGCATGGAAGACCCCTCCCACCCCGACGCCTTGGGCAGCCAGAGGCATTGTTCTCCTTCGCCGCCTGCTCTGTCTGCAGGACCCACACATCAATGCCTCCTTTCCTAAGGTACTCCAGGGTTATGGGGGCATCTTCAAAGCCCCACTCATCCCTCAGCCAATCACAAGGGTTTGCACACCCTTCGGAACTCTGCCCTCCTCATCTGCAGGCTGGACACTGGGAGGATGCTCAGTTCCTGCGTCTCTCCAATCCCAACCCCACCATCCCCCTGGCCACACTTGTGGTCCTTATAGATGTTAGTAGACCTTTGGCCTTCCATTTGACCCATGAAAAAGAAGCAATTTCAGGGGAAGTCATAGGGAGCTTCACTGAAATCCAAAGCCCTCTCTCCAGGGAGTTGCAATCCTAAATGACTCCATGCTATTGCTCCTCTGTTACTAATCTTTTTATTTTCCTTTATTGATTAAGGTATTACATATGTGTCCTTATCCCCCTACTAACCCCCTAAAATCCCCCATTGATGCCCTCACCCCCTTGTTGTGTCCATTGGTTAGGCTTATATGCGTGCATATAAGTCCTTCTGTTGATCTCTCCCCTTACCCCCACCCTCCCTCTGAGGTGTGACTGTCTGATCGCTGCTTCTCTGACTCTGGAAGCTGTTTTTGCTGCCGCCTTTTTCCCCGTGCCTAATCATGACATAATTATAAAATATCTTCATCATATATAATTATTTACTGGCCTCAAACTTTTATTTGGGGAGGGGGGAGCATTATATAGTCCATATCTCCTCTGGTGAAATGAGCAGGGGGGAGTTTCTAGGTGCCATTTCACATTAAGTTCCCTGATTCAAAGATGCACATTAAGAAGGACTGAAATGCTAGCGCAAACGTCCACTGTAACCTGTAATAATAATAGTAACCGTGTACTGACAGTATTCCGCTCCGTGGCTTTACCTGCTTTCTTGGTAATGATAGGGGTGGTGCAGCAGCACGTCCTGCAGGAACCGCTCCATCAGGCTGCTGCTGGGGACTTCGGCGTCGCGCTCTCCGGCTCCTGCTCCTCCTGATGCTTCTGGACCTCCAGGTGGTCCTCCGGGACCTCCTTGTCCTCCGGCTCCTCCTTGTCCTCCGGCTCCTCCTTGTCCTCCGGGTCCTCCGGGTCCTCCGGCTGCTCCGGCTCCTCCGGCTGCTCCGGCTCCTCCGGCTGCTCCTGCTGCTCCTGCTCCTCCTGTACCACCACCACTACCACCACTACTACCACCACCCATCCATTCTCTGTTCTGTGTGGTCATAAATCGGTGTTCGGGACTGTTCACATGCTGCAAAGAAGAAAGAAACTGAGTCTTTTTAAATGGACATTTTCAGCAGTGAGAGGGTCACAGAATGGGTTCATTTACAACACACCGAAATACCTTCTGCAAAGCAATTCTAAAACATGCATCTAAAACTCATCAATGGACTTTCTCTTAGCTGTAATAATTACATCTCTCTAAAGCTCTCCTAAGACAATCATCTTAAATGCGGGTGATTTGTGCAAAAGAGAAAAAAGATGCTTAATCACAGCATACCAAAAACCTGAAAATCTCCTAAAATCCTTAAATTATAATATAGCTATCTGTAATAACACAAATAACAACATAGCAAACTGTTATACGTTAAGGAAAAATTTAAGAGGGTGCAAAATGCTTCATGTTTTCATGTTCTCCTCCCCTCACCCCCACCCCCGCCCCATCATACGGATATCCAATTGACCCAGTCTCATTTATTGGAGAAAATGTTGCATTCCTGCTCTTTAGTGCCACCTCTGTCACAAATCAATTAGCCACAGGTGTCTTTCTGGAGTTTCTGGGTCTGCTCCCGCTCTTTCAATCATGGCCCATTGTCTTAATGACAATAGCTTAGAACATTTTGATATCTGATGTTGTTCATCTTTAAAATTAGCATTCTGCAGATGCTTACCCTTTTACATGTCCATACATAGTCTTAGAATTTTCATTTTAGAATTTTGCTAGACGTTTTACTGGAATGTCACTGAATCAATATATCAGTTTGATAGAACTGACATGCTTACAGTATTTATTTTTCCAACCCATGAATCTGGTATAATACACCAATTATGTAATTTTTCTTAAATTTCCCTCAATGTTAATCATTTGCTTTATAAAAATCATACACATATTTTGTTATATTCCCTGAGAATTGTGTTATTTGAGGCTGTTGTAAGCATCTTTTGTTTAAGTTTTTTTTTTTTAAATTGATTTTCAGAGAGGAAAAAAGAGGGGGAGAGACAGAGAGAAAGACATCTATGGGACAGTGAAACATCAATCAGCTGCCTCTTGCATGCTCTGTACCAGGAATCAAACCGTCAACTTTTTTGTGCTCGGGATGATGCCCAACCCATTGAGCCATACGAGCCAGGGTATAAATATCGTTATTAAATCTCATTTTCTGCATGCTGTTGGCATATAAAAGTACAATATCTTTTTATGTCAACCCAACAAGTTTTTTTAACTCACTTATCAATACTAATAGTTTATCTAGATAACTTTTGAATTTTCTATTCCACAATCACATTGTGTGCAAATAAGTATCGTTTTATTGATTCTTATCTAATCTTTATCATTGTAATTCTTTTTCTCTTCTTATTTATCTCACTAGAACCTCTGGTAAAATATTGCATATAGTTTTACTCAAGCACCAAATCTATTTTTTCTCAATATAGTTGAATCTAGTTTTTGCTTTTATTTTTAAATCTATTTTTATTATTCTTGCTAATATAATGTCCCTATTTAGTTTCTTTCTTGCCATCTTGTGAACTATTTTTATTATTCCAATTTGTCCCCATTAACTTATTACAGATTTCTTTTTCTAGTCCATTAATGGTAACAGTATATAACAAGCAACCTAACTTATCAAAATCTAAAATTATTTGTTACTTTTATTCTCTTCTTGCGCAATGCAAGGTCCAATATACTCAATTTACTTTCTTTCCAATTTATATGCCATTTCTGTTAATCCCATAATACATTAATTATTGAAATTGCCTACATATTTACATTTCCACTGCTCTTTATTTCTTTCCATATCTCTGAGCTTCCAACTGGAATTCTTTTCTTACACCTGAAGAAATTGCTTTTGCTATTTCCTTTAGTAAGGGTCTGCTAGACATAGTTACTTAATTTTTGTCTTTGTAAAATAAAATGTTGCTATTGCACCTCTTTTTAAATAATATATTTATTAAATAGAATTCTAAGGTAGTGTTATTGTCTTCCTTTTGCCTTCTACTGTTTTTGTTTAATATTCAGCCACATCTGCCTTATTTCTTATTTATTCATTGCCTTATAAGTTCTCCAAAGCCTTGAAATTCGAGCTTTTCTAGTTAGGACAAATTATTTTTGCTGTCATTAACATAGTCTTTTCAAATGTCAGTTTAGTGCAAGGATATCTAAATGTCTAAAATTTATTTTAAACTTTAAGCAAAAAATATTATACAAAAGCTTACTGCATAAAACGTGTTATTAAAAGTTTAATATATGTTATCATTATCAAAGGTTCAACAGATAATCTCCCAGTCAAGTGATGATATAATTTATGAGAGAAATATTAAAAAGAGCTTTGAGATTTATTATCTGCCTCTTCATGTTTATAATCAGCATTAAAAAGTGTTTCTTTTTAAAAAGGTGGAGGCGTCGAAATCACAATAATAAACACTTTTCCTTAATGTAAGTTTAAGTGATTACTATTAGATAATTAAACAAAGCAAATGCATGCCACAAAACAGATTTTTTCCACACATTATAAACCTGTGTTCGACATATAAGACGAAAGTTTAGCACTAGCAGAACCAGAACGTGATTATACTACAGCTTCATCGGTGACACGCTTCCCGTATGAACATAAATGCAAAAATCCTCAACAGAATACGAGCAAACCAAACCCAGCAACACATAAAGAGGATTATACACCATGAGCAAGTGTAATTGTTTCCCAGGAATGCAAAATTGGTTTAAAATCTGAAACTCAATCAATTGTAATTGCTATCGCAGACCGAATTCTGTTTCCCGCCAAATTTATCCGTTGACGTTTTAAACGATTCTATTTGGAGACAGGGCTCTTAGGAGCTAATGAAATAGCATCATATAGAAACATTAACTCAGAGTGAATCAAAGACCTAGATGTAAAAGCTAAAACTTTAAACACTCTTAAAAGGAATACACAGGCATAAATCTTCATGGCCTTGGATTAGGCAATCCTTGCGAGACCCGTAGCACAAGCAACAAAAGGGGGAAAAAAATTCAATTCAACTATTGTAAAATTTAATACTTTTGTGCATCAAAGCAAAAAACTAAAAGTCCTTACCTTACTTTTACATTGTCTTGCGGAATCTAATTCTCTGAATCCTTCACCCGACACTCAACCCACCTCAGGCTCTCCCGCTACTGCAGCCTCAGTGACCACGTGGCTTTTGGTTAGCAAGCCAACCACCGTCTGTCTCTGTCCTCGCTCTCCGCTCTCTCTGCCTAGAAATTCTTCCCCGGAGATAAGCAAGCCTGGCCCCTTCGCGTCATTCAAATCCCAGCTGACGTCACTTCCTGCCTCATGTTCTACTCCCTCCTCCCTTATTTTATTTCCCTCCTAACATTTTTCCCAATCTGACATGTGTATTACCTTTATGTAACTGTTTTTCTGTTTGTACCAAAATATAAGTTTCATAAATAAAGGGACCTGGTTTTGTGCGTGGTCATTTCCCTAGAACCTTAAACAGTGTCCGTCAACTAGTAGGCTGTTATTATGATCTGTTTAATGAATGAGTTTTAAAAAATGACTAGAATGTGAAAGAAGGGGTAGTCACTAGTAAGTCCTTTGAGGTGTAATAACTACATTAACAGGGTCCTCTCACCTCATCCAGATCGGTATAGCGCACGAGGCAATAGCTGCAATATCCGTATCTGCTCGGCATGTTGAATTACCAAAGTCAAAAGGTACTGTCGCTGAATATTGAAGGACTGGGAGGAAATGGCAAAAATCCACAATTCCTTACTATTACAAGGAAAATAGCCGTGATTAATATCAGAGAACAGAATTTCAATCTTGAGTCCTAACCACTCTTATTTCTCATAATTATGAAAATAGATAAGGCTTCTTCCCATGAGCTACGGTACCAATCAGTGAACTTAGAGCAAAGATGACAGCATTCACTCTAAGTGACTGATACAGTACTGAAGAACATTGTACTCAATGTTAAAGACCAATTATTATTTCTAAGTTGCGACTGTCGTATATTTTCTATACACTAATGAGGCTCATGAGTGTTCCCGTTATGTTTCTCTAGAAAGTCCCAGATTACTTAAATTGTCAGTGTAATATGTAGCGTCTAATTCTCTGTCATGAGAGGAAAGATCGCACTTGGATTTTCTGCAGAGTCCAGAAAGAGGCAGATTTGGAAACAATTTACCCAACAAAGTTGCTGAAAATAAAAACAACAACAAATTTAACCTCTAAATGCAAGACATTTCTCTTTGACAAGTACATAAACCGAATAAATGAGGAATATTTTTCCAATCGGTGTAAGGAGATTTCTCCACAAACAGTTTCCAAGTTTCTACCCCTTTAAAACCATTATCCTTTAACATTACACACTGCAGTGATTTCTAAATGAGAATAAATATCAAAATCATACTCCAACATTCTGATTTAGCAGAATTGAGACAGTCTAGAGTTTAGAATTTTTTAAATTCCCAGATAATTTTTATACACAGCCAATTCATTCACTGACGCAAAGTATATATAGCTTATGATTATTTGAGTAACAAATTCAATACAATTTTTGCTGTTTTCTTAAAGTCAAAATAGAACTGTAAAACAATTTTACCACATTTCAAATTCAAATTATTTCAAACATTGTAGATTGGGAAATATATAACAGAATGATCCTATAACATTATGAACATTTCTGACAAGGATGGCTCTGCAACAGAAAAGGTTGACTCATTAAAATCAGCATTTAAAAAATTATTTCAAGCCTTAAAACCAGTAAAATGAGAACAGAAAATAGCTTCATTAAGTAAAATGCCGTAACATTCACTTACCTATTATTTTTTATTATGAGAAACTGATTTTTCTACTTGCCACGCTTATGTGGAAAGCGAATCAGTTAAACCAGCCTCTGAAATAAAGAATATATAAGAAATGACTTAACTTGTAATTTAGGCTTATTTCCATTAATTTACTTCATTTGTAATCTGAAGCAACAAAGTGAATCTAGCTTTAAGTTTCATTTATAGATATGAAAATTTTCAGTTAGAGCAAACCCTAGAGCTTAAACCTAAACTTTGAAAATCATTATATTAAAAAGCTTTTTCGTGCTTTTTTTGAAATACAATGAAAACATTCATTGAATGAAAGGCAAACACACACACACACAATCAAAATACTTAAAATATTTTTTAAATATTTAACCTTTATGTCCTTCAACTCCCATTGCATTATTACCTGCCAGTTCCGTCATCCCCAGTGTCATATACAGTACTTGCTACAATGGCAATGCGCTACAATGAATCAGAAGCACCTGTTGGCATTTTTTTCTTTAAACTCACATGCTAAGACTCACCTGAAAAACGTACTGAATCAAAATCTGCTGGAGACAAGCCCATGCATACTCCACATATTTTTAAAAACACATTTTTATTGATTTCAGAAAGGAAGGAAGGAGAGATAGAAACATTAATGATGGGAGAGAATCACTGATCGGCTGCCTCCTGCACTCCCCACACGGGGGATCAAGTCGGCAAGTCCCCAACCCGGGCAAGTGCCCTGACGGGGGAATTGAACCGTTTTGTCCTGGTTCATAGGTGACGCTCAGCCACACTGGCCCAGGCAATTCCACATATTAAAAATGCTCCCGGGTGACTCTGATATAGGTTGAACCAATAACATGTCAATCCTTTATGTACTAATAAAATTCTTACTTAAAAAGATCATTTCTTTGGGGTCTGGGATTATATTACATTGCAAGACTAAATAGGTCTTTTTATACAATCTCTGAATTCTACTGGTACCTGGCATTTTTTTTTTTTTTAAGAAGTAGCAAGTCATTTACCTTCAGCAGAAAAGGGCAGGTATTTCATCAGCTGTATTAGTTCCAGCAAACATCTGCAAATTAAAATAATTTTTTTGAAAAAGATAAGCTCCACAAGTGTCTAGCATTTGCCAAACGAACACCTCCAAATTATATATGTTTGAAAAGGGACACAATTAAGTTTCCAAAAATAAGAAGAGGGAAAAAAAATATTAACTCTTGAACACAAAGCGCCCTACAGAGTAACGGGGATGGACCACATAATCCCCATCCAATATATCAGATCTCTGGGATTTGAGAACAGCAGCAGTAAGAGAATGTAAGGCAAAACCGTGCATCTAAGGCTAAAAACAAAGATACCATCAAACTCAAAATAAGCTCCGTAAGAAACTTTTGAAAGAAATATTTACGTGAAATTAAGTTTAGGTTCTGAACTCGCCACCCCACTCTTCATTCCTGTGCTCATTTTAATGAAAGTTACTGTCAATTCTTCACCATTGATCTATAGCTATTGACAACTCGGCCAAATTATCCTTCCCGCCCTCCCCCCCATACTGTTGTAGGCAAAGTGTTTACTCTTATCCAGGATTACTGGTGAACACAAAATGCCCATGCGTTGTATATTCAAAGACTACATACATGTTCAGCACCTATCCTGTATAAGATTTCATGGTAGAAGCTTTAAGGGATAGAGAGAAATATAAGACAAGCTTTCTTGCCCTTAAGAAGTTTAAAATGGAATTGGGAAATTAACGCAAAAAATACCAGGTGGGATCTGAGAAAAGCATTAAGCACAAATAATAACTGCTAATTGGTTTTAACAGGAGGGGCCAGGATGCATAGTAGATATGAGTGGGGGGGGGTTGTTTTTGTTTTTTTGGTTTTGTTTTTTAACTGGAAATTGGGGAATGGGTAGAATTTGCTTACACAAATTTCAGAAAAAGATATTCCAAGTAACAAAAAAGCAAAAAAGCACAAGGTAATTTGGAGATACTGAGCTGACAGGTTCAGATAGCGCTAAGGTTTCATTTAAGAACTTAAGGGGCAATAAAGCAAGAAAAGTAGATTGAGTTTTGACATGATAAGGTTTCAAAGCGGACTGAAGAATCTACACTATATTTTAGGCAGTATGGAAATATTTTGGAAAGCAGTATATATATATATACTCAAAGAATGCTTTAAAAAAAATTCTGGAACAATGGTTCTTTCCGACTCAAAAAAGCTTTTCCAGGGTAATGAATATAATTGTTAAACTACTCAGCACCATTTCCTAGAATACTGGATAAATTAATTTATATCCAAAATATTTAAGTTCAAAGGAACACTGTCCCTTAGAGCAAAAAAATTAGTCTCATTATGCTTGCAAATTAGGAAAACACAAATTTTTTCTTTAAAAATGACTTTTGTTCATTTTTATTATGAAAGTAAAATGTACTTATTATAGTACAATTATATAGCTAAAGAAATGAGCATAAAAATCAACCATTAATTAACATTTATCATATATTCTTCTTTGATCTAAACACGTTTTTATAAAAACTGGATGATATTATTTGGTCTATTCTATAGCCTCCTCTATCACTGAACCATATGTGATAGGCACCTCTATATGTTCCATAATTCCAAAACAGAATGTTTAATGATTGCATAATATTTCTTTCATCTTAGTGGTGTAAAAATAAAGCCCTCTTAATTGCTAGAACCCAGTAATTGGTAAACTCAATAAGATGATTTTTTTCAAAAATCATCAATATCAATCAGTCAATAAGATGATTTTTAAAACACATATATATCATCTTACTATTTTATCTAGCTTAAAATATAGAAATGTATTTATGTTTTATTTAAGGTCAATTAGGCTTTTCTGTTTCACTGAGGGCTTTTTTGCGCATAGGAGAGCGAGAGTTCAGTCTTTTTTTTTTTTCATTCTTTCAAAAACCTCTTCATAATTTACACTCAACAAGTTTCCATTCTGCTTCTCTAAAGCAGAACAAAATCTTAAAGACATATTCAAAACTGAGAGCACCATTATGATTGTTTGGGAATTTGTGCAACCTTTTACAGTCATCATGCCCCATTAAGAATATCAGCAAAAGCGTTTTCTTATAGTCCAAAGCATTTAGCTTATTTTTCATAAATATAGCAATGCTTACACTCTCATTTCACTGGTTTATGTCATATTTAAGACTGCACAGAGCAACATGGGGCGATGAACAGAGACGCTGGACCGTCTGAAAGGATTTCAGCGCAACTGTCTCAAACTGAAATGAAATTGCTTTTTTTTTTTTTTTTAGATTATTTCTTGCACACCTGTTTTGTTGAAATGAGTCCAGACCTATAGTATGCGTGTTTCTCGCGCTGACTTCAGTGTTGAAATATAAGCTAACAAAATTCAGAATCCCTATGGGAAATATTTGTCAGCAGTCTGACAAGAGAGACACCAATTTACTAGAAAAAAAACAATAAAACAGCAATTGGCCTGTTGAATAAAATAATTTAAATTACCCGTCAGGGAAAAGGGATACATCTGGAAAGCAATGGCCAAATACTATTTTTTTTTTTATCGTAATTCATTGTCTCTTTTCTTAACAGCAGCGTTAAACTGATTCGGCTTCCCCCCCCCCCCTTTTTTTTTTTAATTATCCATTTTATGTTGGTTTACCTCTGGTGACAAGCATTAGCCTGGACACCTCAATTCCGTCTTATTAAAATCATAATAGCTAGCTTTTAGTGGGTTCTTAGTCTGACCCCGGGATAGGTCAACAGCTTCGCAAGCATTATTTCATCTGAATATCAAACAGATTTGCAACATGTAGAAACTGAGGTTGAGAGAGAGGCGGTATTTTGTCCCAGGTCACACGCCAATACCCAGTGTAGCAGGGGTGTGACCCCAGGTCAAGCTGAGCGTCCCTGCTCCTAACCTCTTCGCTGTTACAAAATGCTCTCTCTCTCTCTGCATTATCGGGAATGCTAATTGCTTGTTTTAATATTAGGTGAAAACAAGTAATTAGGAATCTAATTTGCCTCAATAAACACTGTCACATATTGCAAAGAAAAGAGTAAAACTAATATTTAGCATAATTGCATCATTGCTCCCAATCTGAGATGAGTGCTGACAGTACCTTGGATTAGTGACTTTCACAATTAAATACCGAGGCACAGGAAAGCCAGCCACCGCGTATCACAGCCCCGCGGGCACACGGGCACGAAGGCGCGCACACACGCGCGCACACACACCGCACACACAGTTTTGCGAAAACAATACCTTCCTGATGCGTAATGTAACGCAGGCTGGTCTCGTCTGCGCTATTTTGTTTCCCTTTTTTTTTTTTTAAGTGCTTAGTTATGACTCACCAAATTAATACACAATTTACCAATGAATGGACTGAAAACTACAATTGAAAACAAAACACTGCCTCATATGATCAAGCAGAACAAACAGTATTTTCTAAAAGCTGGCCCTTCATTCATTTTATTGCCATTCAATAGCTTGGCCGTGACAGCGACGCTTTATCCCATCTTTAAGGAGCGTCTTTCCTAAGACTGACCCTTGCTGGCCAAGGTGCAGGGGGGGGGGGAGGAAAAAAAAAAACAGGAAAAAAAACCCCACTGCCTTCCACGCTCGGCTTGGGTCCAAATCCGCGCATGCTGGTCAGGCAGTGGAGGGATGTTTACGCATCTCTATAGAGAAAGCCGTCCATGTATGCAGTGGGGGGGAAAGCAGAGCGCATCCGTTACAGATATGTAACAAATGGATATAATGAATGAAACCCTAATTAACAGTGACTCTCAAAGATGAGATTGCTATGGGTATTTTTTTTTTCAGTTTTTTTTTTTCTCCCCTGATAATACCTATTTGCTGCAAATACAAATATACCTCTATTCTGGGGGTTAAAAAAACACACGTTTTCGTTCCTGGAAAGCCAGCATCGCGTTGCGCATTTCTCCCACGCGCAGCCAGAGCCTCGCGCCGGACCCCGCGGAGCTGGAGGGGCCTCGGGCTGCGCGCGATGACGACGGCGGAATTGGACCAGATTCACACAACTGTTGCGCGGCGATGGCACAACGACCGTTCACCAAAAAACCCAAACCAAAAACACACACCAACGTTTCCGAAATACATGCTACCCGCGGGAAGCTGGAAAACGCCCAAGTCCGGGGGCCGCGGGGAAGGGGCTGGCAGACAGGTGGCTCCGCACCGCGGCCCCACAGGTGCCCGCCCGCGCCCGCCCCGCGGCTGCACCGCCGACTCCGACCTCCGCGCACGGTCCGACCGCGGACCCTCCTCCGGCCGCGGACCCTCCTCCGATCGCGGACCCCGACGGAGACGCCAGGCGGCCCCGCGCCCCCCCTCCGCCCCGCGCCCCGGCTGCCGCGATCTCCGCGCCCGGAGACCAGCCCCGCGCCCGCCCGCCCGAGGGACAGAAGGGCCCGGGGACCAGGGGCGCCGAGGACCTGCGAGGCGGGCGCGGGAGCCGGTCCCCCGGGAGGAAGGAGGCGCCCGGGGCCCGCGGAAGGGAGGCCCCACCCCCGGCCGCGCGCTCCGAGCCCCGCGGGCGTCGCCCGGGCTGCGCGCCCACTCGGCCGGCCCGCCCGCCCCCGTGCCCGCCGCGGGGCTCACCTCCGCTGCAGCCGCGCCGATGCCTGCCGGGCCCCGGGGCAGACCGAGGACCGGTGGGTGCGCCGCCAGCCTATGCCGGGTCCATGGCGAGAGCCCGGACCCAGCCGTCCAAGCGCCGCGGCCGCAGAGCAGAGCCCGCAGCCCGCAGCCCGCGCGGCCGATGGAGGAGCCGCCGCCGCCGCTGCAGGAGGAGAAGGGAGTGAGAGCGTCAGCGGAGGGACCGAGCCCCCAGTCACGACTCAGCCCACGTCCTCCTCCGGGGGCGACGCTGCCTGCGCTGCAGCCCCGAATGCGCTTTGACGTCAGGGAAGGTGCGAACACAAGGCCTCTTCTGACGCAGGCTCGGCGGCCCGCCCCCAGCCCACCCCCTCTGCGGGCGCCGACCCCCTCCCTCCCGCCCGCTCCCCTCCCTGCAGCTTTTAAAGCGAACACTTCCTCCAGGGTCAGGGCCCCTCTCCGAGCTTGGGAAGCCAAACCTGTTCCAAACAGAATGACCGGGCTCGGGGCGCGGCGGCGAGGCGCCAGATAGGCACACCAAGGTTGCTCTGTCCGAGGGGCCGGCCGGGAGAAGGCTTGCCAAGTCTGAGCAGCACACAGGGAGCTGCAGAGGAGAGCATGGGGCTCCGGGGGGCTGCTGGTGTGCGCGCTGCCCCTGTGTTTACCGCAGCGAGCTGCATGTAACAAAAGCTGCTGCTCAATGGGCGCTTGATTGGTGCCAGACACTGGGTGTAGGGTTTATAGAGGGGATTCTTGCATTTCATCCTCAGGGCGAGCCTTTATAGGATATAGGATGAATCCTATACCTTTTCACAAACGGAGAGGGGAAAACACACACACACACACACACACACACACACACACACACACACAACCCTAGGCTTGGGAAGGTTAGGTATTCAAAGACCTGTACCGCACACGAAAGGGTTACAAATATTAACCAAAGCCCACTCAGTTATTCAGTGAGATTCTGCACTACCCACTGCGAATGCAGTTTTGTGAGGGAAAAAAAAACAGCTTAATGTAACGAGGGACACAAACCTGAATTCAGCATGCTACTGAATGCATGATAACCTGTGACAAGGAAAATGATCATACCTAAGATGGAGAAAGACTCTGCTTGGAGAGCTTGTGTCTTATGTAAAAATAATAATAATAATAATAATAATAATAATCACCATAGAATGCGCTACTCTGCTCTTTGGTTATTGCAATCATTATCATTACATGTTATTTGGGGGGAAAAGGGGGGGGACAAAGCATGTGGATTTGTTCCCCCCTCCCTTTTTTTTTTTTAACTCGCCCATTGCGTTTGCATTCCTAGTTTACATTCTTTGTGTATTTTTCAGCTCCTGCCTCTCCTCCTATATCTTTCTCCCATTTTAAATCGGCTGTCGCAACTGTTCAGTTTACCACCCCCTTCAGATTTTTTTTAAGACACAAACAAAAGCACTGATTTTTTTTTTTTTTTAAGGCAAGGTCTTTTCACATTTCAACCTTGGAATTGGTGAAAGAAAACTCATTATACATTCACCCAGTCGCCATGACATAATGTATTTCACAGATGCTAAGACCACACATTTTTTTACCCTGAAAACAGGATGCATTTTACAAACTGGACTCTTAACAGTGGCCAGGGAGCTGTATTAGCACGGCTGCCATTGCCTCCGCATATAGACTAGCTGAGATACAGCTAGCTGTTCACATTGCCTGTATTTCAACAGAATGAAGTGCATTGTTTCATAAAACTCACTACCCTAGAAGGAGTGAATTAACAGGTACAGGAGTCTCTCAGACTTAAAGAGGATTTTTCCTAGGGAAAGGGAGAAGATTTTCCTAGGACCAAAAAAGATTCCTCCAACAATGAGCAAAGAGAGATAGGGGACCGGCTAAAAGTTATTAGACCCCTGAGTTACACACTAAGTATATTAGTTCTTAATGCATTTGGAAAGCCTGTATCCGAACATTGAAAATCATAAGCCTAACACACACACACTCCCAAAAAGTAAAATATCTGAGTTATTTTTCTTAATGGTATGGTTAGTCAATTGCAATCCCTCTGCGTTTTAGTCAAGGGGGGGGGGGGGGAGGAATCATTAAAGAAGGAAAATGAATCCTGAATGTAACCTGAAAAGAATCCATTAACCTCTTCTGGCTAGATCAAGAAAGTGCCAGCGAGAAAACTCTCTGAATAGGATGGGCTGCTTGGGCAGAAGTTCAATAGCGGAGCCCTGTGAAGTCTCGATGCATCACCACCGCGTTCGGGTGGCACGGGAGACAATACAGCCTGAGAGACCACAGCCGTTCAATAACGGAACCGGGCGTGATTGAGAACAATGTAAAGACCTGGGAACATCGCGGTTTCCCTTTTCCTGCGCGCACCAGATTGATACATAATAATCTATTTCTACGTGTGAACGAGTTTTTCACTGAGATTGAAATACAAATGCCAAATGACAAGAAATCATTACATTTTAGCCTACTTGACAGCAATTTTTTTTTCATTGCTGTGAACCCTCACGCAAGGGTAATTTTCCATTTATTTTAGAGAGAGTGGAAGGGAGAGGAGAGGGTGAGACAGAGAGAAACTTCCAAGTATGTGCCGGGCCAGGGCTGGGAATCCTGCAACCAAGGTGCATGCCCTTGGCCAGGATTGAACCTTGACCCTGCAGCCCAAAGGCCAATACCCTATCCACTGCGTGGAACCGGCTGGGGCTAGTTGGCAGCATTTTTTTTTTTTTATCCCAACATGATAGTATCATAAAGGTGGAGGAAGTGCCATTTTGCGTCAGATGTACAATCTTTCCAGGCCAGACTCCTGTCCAGTGGCCACGGGAACTTTTTTAGCAGAGCTTAAGTATCTATAAAGTTGAGCTCTAAATGTTAATATTTCCCCTCAATCCTTTGTTATCCCATTATAGATCAAAACCCATTCATTTAGTAAATATTTATTTAAAGGATCCTAGGCTGGTTTTACATGTACATTTCAGTTCCTCCCCCATAGAGAGAAAAAAATTATTCTACGTATGTGTTATTTCACATTCTTCTTTCTTCATCAGAATCAAGACTGCTTTTTTTTTTTATCTCCAGAAGCCATAAAAATTCCAATAATTCCTATATTTTGTAAGCTGTTTACGCTAACGTTAGGCTAGTGTCTTAAAGGAAAAGGCTATAGGGAAAACCTAGGTCCCATTTCTTTTTTTTTCTTTTTTTTTCAGTTGAGTTTTTTTTTTAATTTTATTTATTTATTTTAGAAAGAGACCGAGAGAGAGATCCATCTGTTGGTTCAGTTATTTATGCATTCATTCGCTGATTCTTGTATATATCCTGAGTGGGGGCAACTGTGGTGTATCCAGAAGATGCTCTAACCAACTGAGCTATCTGGCCAGGGCGAGGTCCTAATTCTGAATCATAAAAAAAAAATTAGATTCCATCCGTTAAGAGATTGAATTGTTTTCCTCAAAAATTATATTACTATGCACATCTACCTATTCATAGTCAGGGAGGGCACTATGAAGCTTTTACTCACTAGCGTGGCATTTCAGCTCTTTAAAGAGTATAATGTCCTCTTTAAAGGATAAAGGATTCACTCATATTCCCCATCCAAATCATAACTTTAAAATTCATTAGGAGGGTCACAAAATATCTCCATCCGTTATGTCTTGTTCTTGATTCCTCCCTGTGAGTGTTCCTCCATCCTTGACAAAAATTTTATCTGAAAGAAGAGGGAAAGATGATAATGTAATGTCTTTATCTTACTGATTATTGGAATAAGAAGAAAACCATAGCTTAAGGCTACAGATTTATATGCTGGACAAATGGAGGATGGCAGTATAAATGTGGCGATAGGCTGGCATGCAGGAGGAGATTGTGCAAATGGGTTAGATCCTCGTCCATCCTATGAGAATTTAATGTGTAATGTGTGAAGTCGGAGAATCACTAACTAGCAAAATAAGCCTATTTTGTAACTAAATCTATAGATGAGCCATGAGAGCTAAAGACGATGTTTTTAATGGTTGCTTCTATTTGTCAGGAGTAAATGTGGGCAAAGGCATGGCAATGGGGCAGGCAACTACAATACAATTCTAACAGTATTTCCCACACGTCAACTTAAATTATGCACAATGAGCCCTGGCCTCGGGGCTCTGTTCGTTGGGGTGGTTGCAGGTTTGATTCCTGGTCAGGGCACGTGCCTGGGTTGCAGGAGGCAGCCCTTAGACGTTTCTCTCTCACATACAAGTTTCTCTCTCTCTCTTCCTTTCCTTTTCTCCCTCCCTCCTTTCCTTCCCTCTCTGAAAAATCAATAGAAGAAGCATATCTTTGAGTGAGGATTAAATAAACATAAATAAATAAAATTATGCACATGAATGAGATTTAACTTCTCTGTTACAGTTTTCCCATCCTATTCTTCCTTCTATGTATTCCTTTCCACTTTTACATTCTGTAGGTAAAACTGTAATACAACTCCATACAATGACATAGCTGGGACATGGTTTGACATTGTTGGTTTCCAATACACAATTCTTTACCAACTCTTACCATATCCTACTCCTTTCTTTTTTTTTTCCCCCTTTCTCCACTTCCCCTCTTGTTTCTAGCCATCCATTTTTAATTTTTTCCCTTTCTTTTTTCTTGCTAACAAAACCACAACTTGCAGCCCCTCGTGCTTTTAACTTCTGATAATTAGGACTGACCATGTTGCTTACCTCACCCTTGTTCCTTCCTTTAATTCAAAGGTCATTTCAAAGCTTATGTCTTCTGGAGTTTTAACTTAAAAAAAAAAGTACTATTATTGCCTTTCCATATGGTGAAGTCATTAATAGGAGAACTATATATATACTTGAGCTTTGCCCCCTATGTAAACATCCAAATGCCTTCACTTGTTGACTTGCAACAAATCCTCTACACGATGCCCAAGTATCACAAGCTCAATTGTGTCACCTATGTCTTCCTCTTCTATGTGCTCCTGAAGCCCTGAAATGTGAAGCCCAAGGACCCAGGCGTCCCACCTTGCCAGGGTGAACTAATTCTGAGACATAGGGGAACAACGTGCCTGCCAGCAAAGCTCTGATGTGCACGTGAACCTGTCCCTGACTCCAAACTGCCCTCTTGCCTCTGTTTATCAGACCTCTGTCCCTAGCCCTTCATTACAGGGCCGGTTACCAGATAACTGGAGATCCAATCTCCAGCGCAGCCTGCAGAAACTATCCAGACCGTCCAGCGATAGTCTGCACGTGCCCTTTGCTCACATTGCTTAGCCCATTCCTTCCCCCTTCTCCAGCAGCCCTTCACGCACGT